ATGTTTGAGAACCGGATTTGAATGCAGGTCTGTACCAACACCACGTATGTGTACTCGCTCTGCGGCTCACTGCTAATGGAGAATTCCCGTCTTGGAGCCTCCCTGCGCACAGAGCCCGTTCCCAGCAGCACTTTGAAACTCTCAGGAAGAGGGTGTTTGTTTTTTTGTTTTTTGGCGGTGCTCTGGGAGTGTGAGCTGGATGCTGTTACACGCTAAATGAAGTGCCAAGTGCTGTCTCACTGTTTGAAACCTAAATGGACTATAATGCTCCGGTGGCATAATGGGCAGACGGTGTATTTGTGCACGGACAGATACACTCGCACACAAAAAGGTAAATTCGCCAACGCTTGAACATGCGAGCACACACCCTCCTAGGTACTTTCTCGCTTCCCTGAAACCCCGCGTGTGTGTTGGACTGTCTACACAGGTATTTTATCACTTTGTCAGTCATCTAGTTTCATTTCCCCTGCATTTCTTCTCAGCTCTCCTCTCTTCTCTCCCCTCTTATCTCCTGATTGACAGCTATTTTTACAGCTTCAATCCAATCAGCAAATTGTTCATTTGGACCTCATTAGGAGCATGATCCACTGGCAGCATTAGCATAAATGACTGTTTCCAGAAGGCTCCGTCTCAATCTGAAAAGCATCGCTGCTCTTATTCTTTTCACTCCCCTTTTATAAAGCATTAGTACCACCCGTGGATTCCAACAAAGAGGGCTCTATTCATGAGCCTCAGGATAAAAATGAAGAATTGTTGGCTATATCTTTCATTTTGAGTTGTGACTTTTGAAGGCAGCGCTGTCACTCACAGTGACAGATATTGTTTCCCCTTGTTGTGGTGTGTGAATTGAGTATTGAGACCAGAATAGAAGCAGGAGGGAACTCAGCTTGTGTTGAAATCCTTCTGAGAGGTTATCATTAGATAGAGGAGTCAGAATCTAGACAAAGATTTGGGGGGAAAATCAAGGCCTTTTTATATTCTGGTTTACTAAATTACTAACACTGCCAATATGAAGGTTTAAGCTAATCTGACTTTCTGCAGGTATGAGCTGTTTATCTCTCTGCTCCTCTCCTCTTGTCAGATGGACACTGTCCGACCAGCAACATCTGTTTGCATACTGTCTGGGGAGGTCACATCACACAACCTCTGATGCTGTTTTTAGGCCACTCAGTGCATTCATGCATAGGCCCCCCTCTGGCACTTCAATATAAGAGGAAAGAAAACGTCTTGTTAAAATGTCCAAATGTTTTTTCTTGAATAGAACATTTTCACTTTGAAGATGAACACTTTCCATAAGGTTTGTACAGCTTGTAGAGATTGGCTCTAAGGACTAAAGTGTAGGTTTACAATATTTCTTAAATGCTAATAGGATGATCTTTTATTGCAAAAAAAAGAAAAATATTTGACAACCCTGCCAGCTCCCTTTTATTCAAAGTATGATGTTTTATAAGGCTTTTTTATTTTGTATAACCTTTATAAGTAGTGGTTACTATAGCTTACTGATCACAAACTCCTCAGAAAATGTCTGTTTAAAAAAAAGAAACATTTTACTCAAGCTAAATGTAGCTGTGTGGCTTTTAAATTTGCCAAATTCATGTGGATATAAGCTATTACCATTTAAGCTCCTATGTTAACAATTCATACTATTCTTACAGTTAGAAATGAGATGCTTTGAAGATTTAGAGACGTGAATATCCAGCATGTTCAGCCTGCAGGAAAGCTTATTTAAATGCAGTGCACAACTTTATCATCAGTCAGCCCCCTGCTGTGCGGTATTTTGTCATATTGGTCCCTAGCTGAGTCACGGCGGGCTTTAACAGTGGGGAAAGATCAGTGACTGCTAAAAAAAACAGCCGGTAAAGTGGTCCTTCACCGCTACCACACTTATAAATACAGTACAGGGGTTACATACACATTTAAAATGGACTTTTATCACAGTTCTAAAGCTGCCTTCACATGACAAGCGCTGTTTGCCATTGTGTATCTCCTCTGTTTACTTCTGTAACATAGTGACATCTCTACATAACACTCGCACTTCTATTGTATGGACCAACACCACGTATGTTATCTCACTCTGCCACTCACTGCTAATGGAGATTTCCTGTCTTGGAGCTTCTATCTGCCAGCGATCCAACCCATTGTACGTGATGCCGTTGACCAATCACAACAGAGCCGGCAAGCTGACCAATCAGAGCAGACTGGGCTCTGGTTTCAGACAGAGGGTGAAAAGAGGTGCTGCAGCACAGGCAGTGTGCAAACAATAAAGACCTTTTAAACATTAAAGCATGGAAACATGTCACAGTAGAGGCATAGAATACAAATATGAACCTGTAAACTAGCATAATATGTCACCTTTAAAGCACAAGTAAATACTGTAATATTGGAACTGATTTGAGAACAATCCTCCAGATATGCAGAAAATCCCATGAGCCCATAAACTGATGTCTCACTCACATTCTTGTGGCATTTATGCAGAGGACAGAGTTGACCTTTTCGAGAGAGCTCTTCTGGATATTAATATTCTCTACATTACATCTTCACTTTGTGTCGCTAGAAACTCTCAAATTGACTTTCAATTGACCCTATTAATGACCTCATGTTACACTACCAACGTACAAAGTAATAACAGAGCATTCGAGGAAGTCGATCAGTGAATGACGATACAACTGCAACTCTTTTCATAACTTTCTTCAGAAACACTTCTGCTGCCAATGCCTGCTTTTGTCAGGATGTTTTGAAGCCTTGAAATTGTACATGATGGTTGTGACTTACTAACATTGATGTAACGTCGACATTTCTTCCGCTGACGTTGCACAGTGACGTGTTTACTTTGTCTCCTTTTCAACTAATCTCTCTTTTTTGTGCCGTTTCTTTTGTTGTTCGACCCCAAAATCTCCGTGTGTGTTTTGTGTGTGTGTTTTGTGTGTGTGTTTTGTGCGTGTGAGACGCAAAGAGATTGGGTGGGAGTGAAGAGAAAGAAGATATACATAATTTAGGCTGGAGCTTGTCCGTGCCAACTTGCAGACCTGGACCAGAATTCACTCAGATCTCCTCTCTGTTTCTGCTAGCATGTCCTGGCAGCTGTCCACTGTTCAGGAAATAAACCACCTTATTAAGCAGTGTATCATTTAGCTTTAAAAACGTCCCTGCGAAAACACTCATTTACTTTCTATCGACTAATAACCGCCTTGTGCTTTGCTGATGGCAATGATTTAAGGCATTATCTAAAGTGGTTTTTAAAACATTTAAATATATACATACACATATCAAGGCATGCACAATGTCAATTGCAATGTCAGAAGTCTTGCTGATATAAATGAATTTACTCCAAAGTTGTTATATGGATGCTATAGAAACACTAACAAAATTAAATGTGGTCTTTAATTAAATCTGTTTTGTTGACTCATTACATTTCATTCAAGCCAACATCTACATTTTTGATTGCAGTTTGATGGTACTTCTGGTCTTTTTTTCGTAGGAACACTGTACAGTTAGTAATATGTGAAAATCATGAATATTTTAGACTTCCAAATAAATATTAAATACATTTTTTGTGAAACATTTTTTACCTATAGAGATCAGAGACTCCAAACTTAAGAAGCAAAGACTTTGACACTTGACCCTGATTTATGTCACCTTGTATATTGAGAACATGTAAATTACTTGTAGTTTATAAAAGTAGGTAAGAAATATGGAGTTAGCAGTAGCTCTTTTTAGCGTAAAGAATGTGCAAGATGGAGCTTTTCTTCTCCTTTCTCTTCTTATTTGTGAAGCTACATTTCTGCTCATATCTATACATAACAGGAGAAGGAAGCCCACAGGTTTCCGATTTCTTTGAAAACTTTGTGACCATTAAAAGTCTCATGGACTTTTTCCGCCCTTTCATTCCGTCCCCTTTGGAGGGCAAAGCGCCTGAATCTCACATAGCCTGCCCGGTGACAAAAATGATGAGACACTTTCTGTTCGACACAGGAGATGGATGGGTGGAAGGTAGACAGGCAGGCTTTTGTGTTTGTTCGTCAGCGAATGAGGATTGGTGTGAAAACCCAACATCCTGTTCCTCAAAGTGAGGAAATGTTTCTGGTGCTGTGATATGTACTGTGTGTCACTGTAAAAGTGTCTTCTTCATCATTTATTTCTTCTTTGTCTCTTTTTTTCTCTGAAAAACAAGTGAAAAGTTTGTGTGGGAAAGAGCATAAGCCTAAACACTTTCAACCAGGAAGAACTTGTGACATGAATAATGTGTTTTGTTTAACCGTTGTATAGTCAAGCACAATATTTTAGCTACAGGCTGAAATCTAGATTTGATTAGGAATCATAAGAATGTGTAATGTATAAAAGATCCAAAAGACATCTAATTTGACATCCTCATTATTCAGCCTACCTTATTATCAGCTTCAGCTGTACTTGGTGATTATGGCAAAATATCAAATGTTAGCATGCTATGATCACAGATAGTATTAACAGTGGTAACAAATCAGTGTGTTGGTTAACATTGCCATGACTTAGCATGCTGAGGTTAGCATTTAGCTGGAAATGAGCTGTGCCTAGGTACATTATAACAGAGGCGCTAGCATGGCTATAGGCTCCAAAAAAGGGCTTGTTTGTCTTTTAATTTAAGTGCTGTGATAATTGCCATTTTTAGTTATGTAACTTTGGTAATATAAAATCGAATTGGTCGATTATGGCAGTCTATTTTAGCTTCGAAGCTAACGTATGTTGCCTCCTGCCTCTGGAATACCATTGGATGCGAGGTCGAGTAACTTGCTTTCCACTCATTACTGTCACAGCTAAAGGGCAGGAGGAACTCTATTTACACTCTCCAACATTGATCTCATTGGATCACTGCGTGTGTGTGTGTGCGCGCATGTGTGTGTGCGCGCATGTGTGTGTGCGTGCATGTGTGTGTGCATGTGTGTGTGGCGTGCATGTGAGAAAGAGCAAAAGAAAGGTACGGACATAATTGTTATGTAATCATCTCTCTGCTTTTGTCTTCTCAGGACCCAGATTAACTTCACCGTGGCCATCGATTTCACAGCTTCCAATGGTGAGCTCACACACACACACACACAATTTGAATGTGCACACATTCTCAGAGACCCACTTCAATACACAGAGTCCACACTGAACACAGAGCGTGTATTCAAATATATTCAGATTGGGAATCAAGTGTTTCCAAATGGCCCCCTCCATCACACCTGAGTGCAGTAAGGAGCGCTGCCGTGCTGTGATTAAGGGTTGTGTTATCCATCTGCTCTTGAGCTCCATCGCAGCAGATCAGCAGGCGGCAATACATGTTCAATCCTGAGGTGTGCTTAACCTTGCCTGGCTCTCAGTAAAACATCACTCCAGGAGAGGGGCTAGAGGTGTTCTGCGGTTTATTAAAACACAGCCGAAATAGGGATATGTTAAGTCAAAAAAGTATTTTGTTACATTCACAAAATCTGCACTAAGTTTAGTCACATCAGTGTTGCAATGCATGATCTTGAAGTCATATAAACAGAGACACTTTAAACTAGATTTTGAATCCCTACAGAAATATTAGGAAAACATCATTTAGAAGTTTAAGTGGCTTTTGAAATCGTGATAGCGGATCCCGTAGGCTCAATCAAGCCCACACAGTTGTTGAGAAGTCACGTTATTTACAAATCTAATGAGTAATCACCTGATTAATGTTTTAGTCAATTAAAATCATATCTACAAAAACCAGCATTCTTGACTTTTTCATTTTACAACTATATACATTTTTGGATTTGTAAGAAACCCTAATTTGCTTATGGGGGGTTTTCTTCATTGTTTACTTCCGTAACAAAGTGATTATAATTTTTGTTATAAACAGGTAACCCAGCCCAGCCCACCTCTCTCCACTACATGAGTCCCTACCAACTGAATGCTTACGCAATGGCCCTGAAGGCAGTGGGAGAAATCATCCAGGACTATGACAGCGACAAGATGTTTCCTGCACTCGGGTTCGGAGCCAAGCTGCCGCCCGACGGACGGATCTCCCACGAGTTTGCCTTGGTACGAAGAAGAGTGGTTGGGAGTAGCATGAAAAGCAGGGTGGGAAGAAAAAAGTGGAGTTTTAAACCACCTATCTGACAAACTGAGAAAATGCATCCCCGAAGAAACCTGGTGCAGCTGAAAGATTTGTTTATGTGCTTCTGGGTGCTAAAATGTATTTGTATCATAGGTCAACATGACGCAGGAGTCATTTTAATGATTGGTTGCGGGTAACTTCTGGCTATTATTTGCTACATAAGTGAAATTATTGCAAACATTTTGTTTTGTAGACGCACACCGCTGCACCACTGCTTTGCTTGGTGTGTTTTCCGTTCTGTGCTCCTTTTTGGAATGAATCATACAAGTTAACGGTTTCCTCTCCTCCCCTTAATGTAGAATGGGAACCCTCAGAACCCGTACTGTACGGGGATCGAAGGCGTGGTGGAGGCCTACTACCAGAGTCTGAAGTCAGTTCAGCTCTACGGACCCACCAACTTCTCCCCTGTCATCAACCATGTGGCCAGGTAACACATATACACACACACACACACAGTGTAAAATTGTTACATTTTTAAGTTATTTTCAATTATACTCATTTACATCTACCACAGTGATTTGTTTCACCCTTCCACACTCTTTATTTAGTTTTATTTTTTCACAGTTTTCCACTTGCATATTTGCTATCTCAGCTTGAGCTTTAATTCATTCGAATATGCATGAAAGAACATCGAGAACATTCCACTTGTGATGTTTTTCTCAGGTTTTCTATAATAGGCACCATGCAGCGAGTGTTGCTAGGTAGCTCCTGAGGGAGAGCAAAGGACTAGTAGGGACTAACGGTGGAAGAAGTATTCAGCTCCTTCACTTCAGTAAAAGTACCACACTGTGAGAATAACAATTCATTCAAAACCTTACCTAAGTATTGTCAGCTAAATGTACTAAAACGACTTAAAGTAAAAGTATGTAGGGTACAGCAAAATGTTCTCTGTGTCAGTTTTTATTATTATTTATTACACGTCTTTGTTGAAAACTTGTATTATGTATTACACAGGATACCAAATAATATTTGTATTAGCTAGCTTTACTGCCTGGTATGGTAACTTGACAGTGCAGTCAAAGTCACAGATCGCTCGCCTGGTACAGACTGCTATGAAAATTATGGGGGTTAAAAAAACACCTATCTCTCCAAAACATATACGAGCAGTCCATTATCAGACAGGCAAACAAAATTGTGTCTGATCCCACCCACATACTCCACCCAGAATTCCAGCTCCTACCTTCTGGTAGAAGATGCAGGGTTCCCAAGAGCAGGCTGAACAAGCACTCATTCCTACCTATGTCGATTAAGCTTCTTAACATTCACATGAAATTAAATGTAGTCAAATGTAATGAAATGTACTTTTTAAATGTTGGTCATGAGGGTTGTGCAATAGATCGCCATTGTCAGTATGTGCGTCTGTGTATTGTGTTTGTTCAAACGGTGTATGACTGATGATAATATATGTGTATGTCTCTTAATGTCTACTATGTTTGTATATGTACATGTATGCAGAACTGCAGGACGGAGTTCAGAACAAATTTCCTTACGGGGACAATAAAGTATATCGTATCGTATTTACAAATGTTAGGCTAGGCTAGTAGATTCCCATCCTCCTGGTTGTAGCTTCATATTTAATGAACAGACATGAATGGGTGTAGATCGTCGCTTTTCTACTGCAGTCTCTTACCCTCTAAGTAGTTGTGGATACATGTAGAATTGGTGCAATATTAACTATTCACCTTAATCTCTTCCCCTCTCTACCACTCTTCCAAAGTTCCTCTTTGCAACATCTTCAGTGATACAGACATAGATCTAACCTAGAAGAAAGGTGAAGCGTAGCAGGAGCAACTGAAATAATCTCAGTGTGTAAATGTCAGGAACAATTGGTTCACGACTCACGGGGGAACGAAAGGTCACAGAAAGAGAAATTGAAAGTGGTATTGAGCTGAGGATGTATAGAATTAACCGAAAGAGAGATGTACAGGGAGAGATTAAGATCCTCATTTATTTAATGAGAAGAAATAACTTTCAAACGATGTATAATGCCAAGTATACTGCTTGAATTTCCTTTGAGAACAAGCCAAATCCACACCGAATGATGCTTTATATATCATGTAGAAGTTGTGAATCACCAGAAGATATGAGGATCGTAGAGAAAAAATAATAAAAACGTTTGGTTTTGTGTGTTTTTCTGTGCAGGTATGCAGCGTCAGTGAAGGATGGCTCCCAGTACTTTGTGCTCCTTATCATCACAGATGGCGTGATCTCAGACATGGCACAGACCAAGGAGTCTATTGTCAACGTAAGTGCGTCGAAATCTACAGCCGACCATTAAGTCTAACCCCTAAAGTAAAGAAGAAAAAAGTCAGTTTGCCAAAAGATCACACTCAGTTTTTCCTTTTCAATAACCTTAATTCAGTAATTTGTATATATTGTTCTCACACAGTACCTTGTGCATTTAAGGCCCCGTCCACACGGAGACGAAAACGAACCGACGTCGATATCAAAAAAGTATTCCGTCCACACGGAATCGGCTCAAGAAACGTGTCCATCCACACGAGACCGCTCGACCCGCTGGAGACGCTGTAGTACATATGCCGGGCCTGTAAGTGGCGCTGTACTTCCGCCAAAAAATACACCAAAAGCAGTGAATAAGACCCCCTGAGCATGGTTGCCATGGTTGCCTGGTTGCCCTTCTGGTTATTCTCCGTGGTGGATTTAGCAACATGTAGTTCATGTAGTTCTCCATGTCCACTTGTTGCTGATGGTTGTGGTAGAGGAGCTGTAGATGTTGCACTAACATCTGTATCATGGTCAGTAGCGTCTGGAGCACTAACGCAACCCTGTGATCCACCATTGTTGTTGTCGTTGGCGAAACGCATCAGCAATGACGCGGGGGTGAGCAGGAGAGGTGGGGAGAGGCGGGGCTATGATCGTTTAGGGCGTACACACGGTGCCGCAAGCGTTACGTTACCAGACCTTCCCACTTTGGGATGCGTTATCGTTTGAGGGCTCCGTTTCCGCGGTTCCGTTACGGCCTCGTGTGGATGAACCGTCCATACGATAAAGAACTATAGCGGATAACACCCGTTTCATCTCCGTGTGGACGGGGTCTAAATCAAATGTATACTTTAATTTCTTTGTTAACTTGTAATGTAAATAATACACAATGTTTACATTTAGTTACAAAATGTATTTACTGTTGATTTTGTATTTTATATAACTTTTAATTAAAGAGCAATGCCTTGTCTACATGTCGCTGTGACACATTTCTCAACCTGGGATCAATACAAGTATATTGAATCTTATCTAAAAAGAGAATAAGCTGAAAGGATGTCCTTCAATACATTTACAAAAACTCCTCACTGATTGAACTTCATTTTGTGTTTTACACAAAACATGCAATACAATGGAGACAGCTGCTGTTTAGATAAAACCTGTTATTGTGTGTGTAAATGACCTCTAAAGGAGGATTGTGTATGCTTGTCTGTGTGTAGACTGTTCCATTATTCTACATGAATGAAATCAACAAAGAAAGTCATTAGTTATTTTCTCTCCCTCTTAAAAAAAAAAAGGGAAATATAAAGTGATGGCAGCCTTTTACTTTTATTTTGTGTTTGCTGTGCTGCCCTCACTTTTGACAGCATGCTATTGGCCCTCCGTCCGTCCCCTCCATCACTGTCACTGTTCCAGAGCACGATGCACAATGCAAACAAAGTGAACAGCAGCATTTTTTGTGAAGGCAGTGATCCATCTCAGGCCTTTTGAAAGCAGGGAGGTTGAGAATAGTGAAATGTTGAGGGAGAAATGTAGGCTGAGAGAGAGGAGAAGGAGGCGGAGATGAACAAAAATTGGAGTGGAAAGAAAACCCTTACCGAGGGGAGTGAAAAATAAACAAGATGTTTTGATAAGATCATCTATTGCTCTGAGGTCAACCCATTACTCAATATACGCCGAACACACACGCCCACCCTTTCAAATACCCGCTTTGTGACACACACACACACACAAACACATGTCATTTATAGGCTGTCAGCGAGTTCTGGCCGTGTTGTTGATTCCCTCGTCTCTAATATTATTCATTGTGAAGCCTCGACCCACGCGGCGTTGCGTGAGGTGCTGCAGAAAACACACACGCTTACACATACGCTGTGTACTACACATGTTGACAAGATCTTCTCCTTCCTATTAGTTGCATCACCCTACAGGGAAGAAAGTTTTCTCAGAAGAGTTTTCAAATATGTTCCTCTCCTCTCCTGCAGGCCTCCTGTCTGCCGATGTCAATTATTATCGTGGGGGTGGGGCCCGCAGAATTCGATGGTGAGTATGAAGGCATGAACACGATTAAAATCAAACACCAATTTTCGTTGGACAAAATACACCGATGTCGACAATATTGTACACTGAAAAACTGAAACATTGACTTTAATTAAATGTATTCTGTTGTATTATGTTAACAGATTTCACATAGCTGTATTAAGTTGGTTGAAAGCAATAATATGAAGTTTAAATACAAAAATATTAGGTTCAACTTAATATTATTGCTTCCAACTCACCTAATACAGTAATGTGAAATCTGTGGACATAATACATTTAATTAAAGTCAACGCTTCAGTTTTTTCAGTGTAGGGTTGACCATTGATGCTTTCACAAATCATTCGCAAAGAAGGGAATTTTGATGAATAATGATCAGTAACTAGGATTTAATGACTAAGTAGGGAAAGGCAAGTCAAGAACAGATGTAACAATCTGGTAAATTCAGGAAATGACAACATTTTACTGAAAATGCAGCCTTTCAAACCAGAAAAAAACACGTATAAAGTTATCCAACATCAAAAAACCCATCTGGTCTTATATCCCGATATATTGCCCAGCCCTGCTTCTGAGTAATGTTCATATATAATAAACTTCTGTAAACTCTTTAGAATCTGGCCGAAATTAGCTCTATCTTCTGAGATATTCAGTTTTTTACTGGCAGTGACAACAGTGAGAAATAATGTGTGGGTTTTTCTTCTTCTCCTCAGCCATGGTTGAGTTGGACGGCGATGAAATCAGGATCTCATCCAGAGGGAGATACGCTGAGAGGGACATTGTTCAGGTACATAATCCTTCCTTTGTCTCAAACCAGCCCCCCCAACTGCTGTCTCATTATTGTCTGATAACAGTAATCCAAAATGAAAACACGTCCAAGTTTACAAATGAGCTCTGCCTCGCGATCCTTCATCACTTTTTTCAGATGTTATCCTTAATTAGTTTTTGTAAAACTGATACTTGCTGTATTTTGAAAACCAGTACTGTTAAAATCAAGGCAGGAAAAAAATGACTTCACAGCTCCGGGGTAAATAATATGTGCTGAGCCTCCCTTTATCTGAGTAATGTTTACAATGTGCTTGAAGACAGCCCCTAGCTTTGCTCCATAGTAATATGCTTAACTGATTGATTAAAAGCACAAAACTGAAATAATAATAGCAGACTGAAAGAGTTTCTTATCACGTCACTTAAAGCTTATTTTCCCAAACAAAATTACAATTAAATCAAGTAGACACACAGTAAGCCTGAGAGCCGAAGGACATTTGCCCACTTTGCCTGGCTGGTAGAGAATAGCACAGCCTTAAAGCTGCTGCCAGTCATCTTGATCTCTCGAAGGCACAATGAGCAGCATTTGTCGGTTGTTGTTTTATAAACACAACATTCAAAGTTGCCTGTGAATGCCAGATTCCCTCTTAAGTTTGTGTTTGGGTGTTTCACCTCTCTATACTTGCTGTGTTCGCCATTTCCATGGTTTCCTATTGGATCCATGCTTACGACCTGGGACCTGGTCTCTACATTATTTAAAATGAGAGATGTCCTAACAACAGCAAAATAAGAAAATTCAGACACAAGGCTAGTGATTATTAAGAGGGATTTTTAATGAGTCTTTACATGATATTTATGAAAATCGTAATCATTGTGCGAAAGTATAAAAACCTGTTTATTGACATTTCGATGCTGGACAATGTAAGACTTTCAGGAAGACATTCCCCCCAAAATCACAACTTGAGAGGATTATTTGGAAGTGTTGAAGGATTTTTGTACAAACCTGTTCAATATGAACGCCTTAAAAAAGCATTTGCCCAGGCTTTTCATATTTTTTGGTGCAGACACCTGGTCATCTTGACCTCATGCTGCACCCCAGATAAACAAATGCACCACACACATACACAGAGAGATAATGGTGTCTACCCAGTATCTACGGAGAGTCTGCTTATTTTCTGTATCTGTGTGTTTTTAAAGTGTATGAACTGAGACCTCAGCTGAACCCCGGCCTACAGGGCAGCTCAGCTACTGATTGGAAAACAGTCACAAAGACCATGAATTTATTCAAAAATACAACAATATGCTACTTAAAAGTACAATATTGCTATGATTGGCTGCTCATAATCTAAACTATGATTAGTTTCTAGTCATTCCTTCAGCCTGTCAATCATCCGTCTTCATCCCTTTTCATGAAGTCCTTTTGTATCAACGTTTGTTTTGCTGAAAGGGATCAGCCCACAAAGACAATTATTCCTTTTCACACTCGTATCACCCCCTGGCACCAAAGCAAAAAGAAGAAATGCAAACATGCAGAGTGAGCCGTTTGTTTGTTGCGGGTGCCACACAGTAAAGTCACACTCTTCTCCGTGACCCTTATTCCAACGCAGTCATATTTTGCTCCCTCAGCCCATAGCCGCATTCACACCGCAGGACTTTCCCTGGTACTTTGGTTCTTTAGTTCCGTTAGTACCAATAATGTTGCGTTCACACCGCCGGGACTACTCAGTGCCGGGAACTCTTTTGGCCATTTTCAGTCCCTGCTAGAGAGGTGGTACGAACCTGGTGATAAAAGAGTGCCAATTTCTATTCTATGTCTATTGGCTGGGCGAATTGCAAACCACGCCCCGTTAGACTCTGAATTTTTTTTGTTAGGCAGCCATTTTTTTCCTCGCTACAAAACCACATCCACACCTGAGCGAGTAGTTTTTTGTACTTTAAAGCAGTTATGACCACACGTACTACAACACCAGAGCGGTGGAATGATGAGGAAGTGTCGGCGCTTCTGGCAATTTACTCCGAGGACGGGATGCAGCAGCTTCTACAGAAAGCAGTTCCCAACTCCAAATGTTTTGAGCGATGTTCGCAAAAGCTACTTGAGCTGGGAATCGTGCACAGTGCACACGGATGCCGGGTAAAAATAAATAAACTCAGGCAGGACTATAAAAAAATTAAAGACCACAATAATAAGAGTGGTAACGATTTTCTATTGTTATTATATATATATATATATATAGGCTATTGCCACTGTTTTTTAATACTGACACCTAACTTGCACTAAGTTGTGTCTGCTGTTATATATATTGCCACTGTTACATTGTTTTGAAACTACTTACACTTTATTTTACATTTCACACTTTTATTTAACTTCAATTTACATGCATACGACACACCTGGAACAGCGTGATGCCGTTATTGTTATGTCTTGACTGTGCAATAAAACAAACAAACTGGCGAAGCTTTATTTATTGTGTCCCACCCCAAATGTGCAGAATAGAAGAATGTGAGAGCAGACAGGTGTCGGTGGTTGAATGTATCTACAATGCTGCAACCTTGTGCAGCAATGGCAGGGGCAGAAACACAAGTCTTACACACATAAACACAAGTCATTTATCATGTCATTTGTTTTAGATAAATAAGGGAAAAACACCAAACAAGGGTTAATGTTCTTTTCCAAAATCAGCCTGAGGGGGTAATATATAATAAATACATAAAGATAAAGTCCATTGTTATAATGGGGTATTTTATTTGTAAATTACCCTTATTACCCTTATGAACTCCATCATGTCTGAGGTCGGAAAGTAAACAAACGCCTCATACAGCGGGTGGGCTTTATACCCCCTCCCTCCCCCCCCCCCCCCCCCCCCCGTGTAGTTCTTCTTCTCTCGTTTTTTTTTTTACTCGCCGTGAAGTGGTTTTGCGGCCTGCCAGTAAACCCAGAGAAGAAGAAGACGAAGTGACGTCAGCGTAATCTTGCCTCGGAAAGTACTGCGGTGTGAATGCGATTGGCACTAGCCCCCTGGCGGATTCAGTGCCGTGGCACTAAAGTACGGCAAGTCCTGCGGTGTGAAAGCGGCTCATGTTAGCTAGTGAGGCGCGCTCGTTAGCTGGCTCTTTAACAAGCTGAAGAAGACACACACACATACGCTGCACTGGAGGAGGTGGTGTCAAACTAAGTTTCACCTCTGGAACATTACACCAGTTCTGCCTACAGATTCTCATTATCAGCCAGCTAATAACCCGTTCTGACTTGGCGAGGGTTACATTTCGCAGCCAGGGCTTCCAGTACAAATCGGCCTCTCATGTGGGCTTGTGATCAGGTCAATTAAAAAGTCTTATACCTTTTCTCATTAGTCAGGCAATATCTATGTAAGAGCATACAACCTTTGGTAAGGTAAGTGAAATACGCCAGCAGTTCTTTCACTACAGCAGGTGGATTAGCATTGTAAAGAGGACAGCAGTCTGTAAATAATGAGTCACAGCTGATGGTTCGTGAGGAAAATATTGAAATGCATATTATATGTGAGTCTGAATGTGTATGTCAGTTTACCGCCTGTTTTGAAGTGAAGTGGCACTATCTGTAGCTCTGTCTTTAATGAAACTGTTGACCTACATGAGATCTAAGTCGCATTCGTAACAAGCTTTTTGGTCTCATCACAGTCTAACCTCTGCCTCTATCTCTTTGTTAGCAGGAATATAGAAAAAACTACTCTCAATTTGCATTAAACTTTGTGGAAGGGTGAAGCATTAGCCAAGTTTTTTTAACAGATTTTAATCACTTGGAAGAGGCAGGCATTATTTTTCACTTGGCAGAGGTCTGCCCTTCCAGTTTCATTGCACTTAATAACTGAGCTTTATTAAGATGAAAATAGGACCCAAGTTGTTATAAAATAGATGTATTTATGTGTTATTGAGTCCAAAATAACTTAGCTGTGATTAAATCAAGAACAGCAATTAATTCACATGTTCTGCGGCACATTTTTCATTATACCTAACATAAAAATGATGTCAGCGAGTTTCAAACTGTCTGTTTTTACAGATATTAAGCACTGACATTGGAAGGGGAATCAACATTAACTTGGTCTTGGTATATAGCTGCTGGCTCTGTGCCTATCATGTACATTTTAAATATTTAAGCTGTTTAATTTCACACCCCAGCAGCGCCAATGGCATCAACCAGTTTTAAAACATAATATTCTGGCTAAATAAAGCATGTCACTAAATTGCACATTCTTTGTTTCCACTTTAACCGCTAATTTCTCTGACCTTATGGATCAGATTTTTCTCCATGTACTGTTCAGTAGAAGTCTTTGACATTCACATCCTCCAGTTCACCAGACAACCAGACACCAGCGTTTCATTTCAGAAAATAGGTCTTAATTAGGAGAGGCTCTCTTGTCTGTAGCAATAATCCTGCAGCATTCAAATGATATTTTTTCTCCCCACTGTTTCTGCTCCATTACATCATTCTGTTTTTAATCTTCTTTCCAATCTTTGTTCTTTGTCTGTTTTCTTTGTCTGCCATTTTTCTGCAACATTCTGTAAATCTCTAATTGTTCTCCCCCAACTGTGATCATTTCCCGTCAGTGTTTTCTCCTCTCCTCCTCGTCTTAATTAACCATTCTCTAAAACCGAGGTTGACAAATTCATACAATACAATACAAGGGACTGTTGATTTTGCCAGTGACATTACAACTGTCTTAAGAAGATTGTATTAGCTGTGATTGAGATAATTGAGATAATTAGAAAAGAAAATTAAGAAAAGACGTAATCAGATTACTGTTACAAAAAGCGGGATTACTTGCAGGACTACAATGTATCAATAAACACCCATGTATTATAGGTAGACGTACTGCCTGAATTTAATTTTTGCTTTTCATTTAGGTTACTTACATTTTATTTTTTTTAATGCAGTAAGTGGACACCTGGATTATTATAGCAAAAATGTACTTTGCTTTTCATTTATATGTTAAACTAAAACACTTTTTGTAAATTCTACTATTCTGAAGGTCTAGCCTAAATTTAAGAGGACACATTTTTGATCCTAAATACAGTATCTTGATTTCTTCTTTTCTAAGAAAACATTGTTCTGTTGCCTTACATTATACACTTCAGTAAAAAACATCGTATTGGTATTCCTTTTCTTTCATTGTTTTGCATTGCATTTGATGTTGACGCAATCCAAAATATACGGAAAGTAATCAGGTTAAACTCCTTTAATATTGTGATACTTAGTTTATGTTACAGATTCCTTTTTTTTTTTTTTTTTTAAAGTAACCCTCCCAACGCTGTACACACACGATATTGTGCTAGAAGTTTGGCAGCAGCTTCTGGACTGTAGATTTGCCCATTTACCTCCCCTTCCTCCCCTCTCCCTCAGTTCGTCCCGTTCAGAGACTACATCGACCGGACGGGGAACCACATCCTGAGCATGGCACGGCTCGCCAAAGACGTCTTGGCCGAGATCCCCGACCAGTTCCTCTCCTACATGAGGACCCGCGGGATCAAGCCGTCCCCAGCGCCGCCTCCCTACACGCCGCCGGGGCAGCCCATACAGACCCAGATATGAGGAGCCGAGGAGAATCATGTTTCTGAGTCGGGGGTTAGCTGAACCCACCGTGCAAAATACTTCCAATCTCCCTCGAGCCGCTCTCTAATGCCTTGTCGTCGTGGATCACGGTGTTTTTTTCTCGTGTTCAGGAAGCTGCATGTCGGGCCAGGAGAGTGTGCTTTGGAGGACAGGAAAAGCCAATGAGAGTCTGTTTACTTCCACTGTTAAGCATTCCTGTTAATGTCTGGAATTTTGTTTTTTTGATAGAGTTGGAAGAGACTGAATGCTCCCTGGGAGGATGAGAAGGAATGAATGAAGGACAGCTTTGGAAACATTATCAAGAGAATGTCTCCAGACAAATCAAAGGAATCACTTGATCTTTTTTCCTGTAAATAACCGGACATGTGTTCTTTCTCTTATCTCTCTCCGACTCACTCATTGTTTACAGTAAACGCTAACAAGGATTTTTACTGTTGATACTTTTATATTCACACAGTTTCTATATGAAGCTTGATATATTCTCTCTCTCTCTCTCTCTCTCTCTCTCTCTCTCTCTCATCTCTCTCTCTCTCTCTCTCTCTCTCTCTCTCTCTCTCTCTCTCTCTCTCTCTCTCTCTCTCTCTCTCTCTCTCTCTCTCTCTCTGGTGTCAGGTAGCAGCAGTGCAGGTCCTGGTAGCTCTTCTGTACCGTGCTGTACCGTACTCTATTCTTGTGTTTCTATTAACCTTTTTGCATGAGTGTAGCCTCGGTCAAGTGCATGCATATACTGTAGTATCCCTGCACTACCTCTTCTACCCATTTGTCTGTCTGTCTGTGGGGGGGGTGAGTGTGTGTCTGCCTGTATCTCCATTAGTCACCTCCCCCTCTCTGTCTGACTGCACTGCTCTCAGGTCCGTCTATACATCTCCCTTTTGCAGCTTTTCTTCCAGTCTTTAGTCTTCACTTAGCTGGGTTTCCATTAAAAAATGTCACACAAGTTAGGGTATTAATGATTTCTGAATGCATGACTCTCTCTCTCTCTCTCTCTCTCTCTCTATCTCTATCTCTATCTATCTCTATCTCTCTCTCTCTCTCTCTCTCTCTCTCTCTCTCTCTCTCTCTCTCTCTCTCTCTCTCTTTCTATCTGTGTCTATGTTCTCCTCCAAACTGCCTTGGCAATATGATGCCCACGTGCCCAAGGGTTTCGTCTCATTGTGTCGTCCAACACCACGTCCCCGTCCCACGTTTAAAACGACAACAGCTGCTCTCAAACTGAATACGGTTTGAGCATCAAGAGCCCAGTAGTAAAAAATGCAGAGAAAAACACACCTTTTTCCCTATGTTGGCTTTTTGTTCCACTTTTTGCATTGTGTACTTTTTATTGCACCTTTATCTTTGATATAGCTTTTAAAACCTTTTTTTTTTATGACGTGTATTCTTTATGTGCCAACCATGTGTAAGAGGATGATTTGTGTGATTCACTGAGGTTGTCTTTATCATTTGTTCTAAATGATGCATGAAGAGGTCTGTTTTTGGCATGAATGTTGAGGGACTGTTCAGTGTTTCAAAGAGTGGATGTGTTAATGAGATTTGTGAAAAAACATTAGATTAAATGTTTGAAATGTCTCCGGTCATGATTGAATTACATGCAATTTAAGCATTGCAGTGATGTTAAAGCTTCCCTGTAATTTTGTTGTATCAACACCCTACAGTCTTAAATTATAGCACAAACATTATCATTATTTATTTTTTAATTACTGTAAACCTCATGATCATCCCATAATCTGCTGATTACTCTGATGTCTTATCAATAGAGACTTTTCATCTATTATCAATCCAACACTAGTTACAGACATTTTGAGTTTGTTTCAAAAGCAAATGTGTCTTTGATATACAATGTATGTGCCGTGTTGCTGCTACCGGCTGCACTCAGGTCTATTGCATAATTTTGGCCATTTTTCCAGCAGTGAAAATTAACATTGTGGCTCGAATTTAGGAAAAAAACATGGAAAGTCACACTATCAACCCAGACAAGACACTACGCACCTTAACTGACATTTTCTACCTTTTCTTTGAAATCTTACATCGCTGCTTTCTCTAGCTTGATATAGGTTAATCAATCTTTACAGTCCCCTCCTGTGTAGCCACTGTAGCAAAATTGGACTAACTGTGTGTTTGCTTAGCTAGTGGAGTCGTGTTCCTGCAGCCACCCACTGTGTTCACAGCGTAGCGCGGCACATCATTAGGACTGCAGGTCATTCTACGCAGGTCATTACTGCCTCAGCAGATACACTGTACAACTGTTAGGGATCCAGCACTGCGGGGGTCAAACAAGACATTTCTTAGAGTCAGCTAAGTGTTTGATGTTAGTGCTTGGTGACAGCTTAGCATACATCCCTTCTGGTGGAGACACATTTCTATACGAAGACTTTTTAAAAAGCCTGTTGATATAGCCACTGTTAACACTAATTACGGCTACGGGGTTAAATATTTAACAGCTGTTATTTGATTGGTTCAATGAGAATATTCTACTCATCAATGTAATTGCTATATTACTGGTAAAATGTAAATTTCTGAATCAAACTGACTGATTTGTCAGGAAAACTCTGTCTAAAGTTAGCTATCATTAGCTAGGCATCTAGCTAACATTAGCCACTGTAAGCTAGCATACATTCCAGACCAAGAAAAGCTGTAGTGCCAGTGAAATGTATTGCTTATGTATTCAACTATGTAAGAGGAAGAATGTAATTTCTTCTTTCAAAAGTCTCAGATATCTTTTTAAAGATGATCCCAACAAAAACAAGAGAGAAAGGTAACGGGAAATGTACTCAACTTGTTGACACCTTCAATGAAGCTGCTTCCTATACATGTATTTATAAAATCTTTCAAATTAGAATTGGCTGACCAGATTTAAACCTGGGAGTTGTTGTTACATGGTGGACCTTTTTATAAAAACAGCCTACAGGATGTCCCTGTCTTGCCATTTGAATGGCTAACTACCTCCTGTTTCAAGTCACATGTTCTTCAGCAAATCCATTTCAGGGTAGGAAAATACATCTCTTACGTCATGCTCATCTTGCCATAATTAATTACAACAATCATAGTTGTTATTATTTTGACTTAAAATGTTGGCCTTTCTTTACTTTCATACAAACACATTATTGCCATAGTCATTGGTGCCTTTTATTTTCTGTTGGTCTGCTTTGTGTGAACAGAAATTATTAGTTAAACTCATTAACTTTGCCCCTAAAAGTGTGTGTATGGGTGTGCATGCCTTTGATATAAATATTCTTTGTGCGTGTGAGCAAGTGTGTGTGTGCGTGCCTATGTGTGGCACCTTTTTATAAGAGTGTTTTAATAGACAATGTGAGGTGTTAACACACATAAGATCTTTGTTTACTAAAGCTATCCAAATAATATATATTGTATGCTCGTCATATCTTCTTAATAACGTGCACTATGTTTGCATGTACAGTTTTACAAAGGATGCACCAGTTCCTTTTGTTGAAAACTGGTTGTTTTGAAATATAAAAATCTATATGATAATTAACTGTACAAAATGGCCTTAAATCTTTCACAGATTTTCTTGGAATTGTGCGATGCCTTCTTCGGAAAAATGAATTGTTTTGATGAATTAATTGTTATATATTTTGTGTCAGTGTTTCTATTGCTTTTTAGTGGATTTTCTTTGCACAAGTTGAGTTATGGAAAAAATAATGATCTTGTACTTTTTTGAAAACGTGATTATTAATCAGAGAAAGCATGGCTGAATTACTGCTTGTCTGATAATATATAATAGATGACTATTTCTGTATCAAACTGGATTTTTAAATAAATATTCATATCAAACACAATCATTGCTGGAGTTAAGTATCTTGAAATACCTCTTTTCATATTTGTTTCCATTCTTTAGGTTTTCTAAGCAGAAAGCAACACGTGCTTAACGCCGCTGCAAAACCTAAACCTGTAATAGTTATCACTCAGATTTACCACCCAATCCTATGTATATGTGTCAACATTTCCGAGAGTAATTGGCACATGTTTTAATAGGCGAAAAGTAACACTTAATGCTCTGTCACACAAAACGATTAGAGAAAGATCTGTTTGTCTGTCGGGGGTTGATGGGATTCTTCGTCAACACTCAAAAGCTCAGCAAGTACTTTGACAGGTGCTGAGATCCCTGATTTTCAGATGTCATGATTCATCTTGTTTTTGTTAGCATTTTAGGAAATTGTCAGTCTCACTCCTGCCACTCAGGTTACAGAGTTCCCTGCAGCAGTGTCTGCCTTCCTTCTATGAGAGAGCTTACTTACTTACTTACTTGAACTTACTTACTTGAACTTACTTAAAATAGCAATAGCTGGGAGTGGGGAAGTAGCTTTGCTTAGCTTAGCCTAGCATTAAAGGCTTGGGAAAACAGCTAGCTCTGGCTCTTGATACAGTTATACAAATACACCTACCAGCATTAATAAAGCTACTATTAACCTCTGTGGTTGTTAAGAGCTTTAAAAGGTTATAGAAGTGTATTTTTTTAACTTTTGTGAAAGCCAGGCTAATACCCCAACTGCGTCAAGTCTTCATGCTAACAGCTAACAAGCTCTCTGCTCTAGCGTAATACTAAAGGGCAATATAATAGTATCTCAACTTACTCTTTGAATGAAAGAGTTTTTCACAAAATAAAATCTTTCTTACTTTCTTTAAATGCAGCATTTATACATTTATATAATACCCTATGTGTTCAGTGCAATTTTCCAAACTCACATTGGTTTCTCTACAGCATCTCTGTATATAGTATGTGTATTCACTCTCTGTCCTAAACGGCTTGTTGGATCTCCTGCCCCCCTCCCTATGAGCCCAGTGTGCTCTGATTGGTCAGCTCGCCCACTCTGATGAGTCCACCACCGTTACAGCGGAACATCAGTGATTATGTGTTACAATGGCGTTTGTTAGCAATCAGAAAATGACAAACAGATGAGAATGCTGCGTGGGGTCTGGGTGCCGTGTTGGCGGGACGTTGCGGGGCTCGCTGCTGGAGCAGACAGTGTGAGCTGGCTTGCTGCGGGGGATCTGCGAGACACAGCTAAACCCAGCTTGAACCCAGCCCGAGCACCCCCCCCCCCCCCCCCCCCACACACACACACACACACACACACACACACACACACACACACACCACACACACACACACACACACACACACACACACACACACACACACACCACACACCTGCAGCCTGGCTGTGAATCTGCGGTGTTCTCAGAGCGAGCCCAGGCCTAGCCCAGTCGCGGTCTCAGGCTGAATTCAGGCTTAGAAATCCACCAATCCGCGGAGACGTTACGTCACTATACCCAACACGTCACTGTACTTACTACCCTATAAGAAGAAAACAATGGAAAAAGAAACATCTCCAACGAGGCGTTCTGGGGACAGGTCTTTTCTGTGTTAGAGTTTTTCTCGTTCAGGGTGTACTTTGAGGGTTTGTAACTGCAGACCGTTTACATGCATAAAAAGCTACACAACACACAATGGGATGGGTAATAACCGGAAAAGCATGACATGGGACCTTTAAGTTAGGTAAACACCATGTGTTATACATATGCCAATTATCTCCTTGGGAAGCAACACAGGTAAATAAAGACATTTCTAATTACCAATGAGACAATAAAGCTTCGCTGTTCATTAACAATGGAAAGTGTTTTTATTGCTAATTACATATGCAACACATTGGTTTTGATAACTTTTCAAGCCAAAACAAATATAAAACCATGTAATTGAGCGGAATTTTTCTGACTGTTAGAGTTGACTCGAACACTATACACAATAAAATAATACATTTACAGTACATGTGTAAAAATTATGTTGATAATAAAGATGGTGACAGATGTAATAAAGTATGGACGCAGTGTCCTGCTGTCCACATCGTCCCCAATAAATCACCATCAACCCTCTCGTGTATATTAGATGGATGTCAGTTGGCACGTCCATTTTCCCCCTTCATAAATAAACACAGACGCCGGACAAAATTGGCTGATCCACATTTGCATAAATGTGCTGAATTAACTCACTCAGTTGGCTTCACATTTGGCCCTGCTTAAAATCAAGCCTGAAATTGTGAATTGGCAGCCTGAAGTGAAGGGAAATTAGAGCTTAAACAAAGTTTGTCAGCCTACATTTAAATAAAAATAGGACAGCAAAGAAGGCAGATTCTGTCAAACCAAATAACGGTTTATATTAGTTGTGACGTAAATTGCACTTAAAATGATCCACCATGTCGGCCTCGAGAGGACTTTCCTGTCAACTGGGGGAAAAAACGTTGCATTATGGAAAAACTATTAAACGTACCAATATTAATAAGGCCCTCAACATGTGTGACAACTAATGCCAGCATATGTATTTTATGAAAAACATAGAAGTTTTGAAATGCATTTCTAATCCTTATAATGTGTTTGTATTTAGCCTAATGACATTTTGTATTTAAAGCTGTATGGAGGGAGGAGTCAGGTCAGCAAGTGAATGCAACACCGATCTGATTGATGCACATTACTTTACTTATTGGTGACAGGGCTTCAGTCTCTGTTTGTTTGGTTAGCTTTTGGGGTGTTTCTCTGCCCTTTATAACAGCACCGCACGCTTCTTGTTTTCGTTGCAGTGTAGTTTTATCTCCTCCTTTATTTCAAACTTCCTTTGTCCTACCCTGAAGCAGCCTGAGACCTGGGAATGCATACCGTGCAGAGCTTTCATTTTACAAGATAAAGTCAGTGCCCATTTAATTGTATTACCTCCGCCAGGGAGATAATGTTTTCGTAATAGTTTGTTTGTTTGTCGGCAGGATTAAAGAAAAACTACAGGCCAGATTTGGAACTTGGAAGGGTGAAGTCATGGGCTAAAAAAAAACATTACATTTTGCAGCTAATCCAAATCACATCCAAGGCAGATACACACATTATCTTTTACTCATGGAACGACTTTGATGGAATGTAATTCTAGTTTTTATGTTTCTTTTGTTATGTCCAGGTTTTAAGAAAGAAACAAATAATTCTAACAAGTCTTCCATACTGCTGGCTGTGAAATGAAAGCAGTAGGTCCTGTGTGGATACTGGATTTAGCCAATGCTTGGTTGAGCATTAGGATGAGCAAACAGCCCAAAATACACACTCATACAGGTACAGAAAAACACTTGGAAGTGTGAAAAGCATTTTGAATCTGTCGTTCAGGGGCGAAATGGTGTTTTTTTTGTTTCTTTCTAAACATTATATAAGAATTAACTTGCTGTAGGAAAAAAACTGTCATTACTTTTTTGAGAGATTTCATATGAACAATTTGAAAAGTGTTTCACTGTCTTTTAATATTTAAATAATTCAATATTTATGGCCAAAAAAAGCAACAATGGAAGCTAAAAATGCATCTATAAGTTGAATTCATTAACACTTTACCATCTATAAAACCCACAAGCCACAAACGGTTAATTCCTGTAGGTCCACGGAAGAAAATAAACAGAACACAGTGTGTTAAGGCAGGACCCCGTCACTCAGTGTGAAAGGTATTAGGAAAATAAGTTTCCTTATACCTTTCTTTAACTAAGACATATCCTCAGGCAGGAAGAATTTTGTTTGTGCCATTTACTCATTGTCCAAAAAAAGCTGTCACATATCTCACCGTTCTCTAACCTGAGGCAAAATGCTCAATTTCTTTCTTGCCTCATTGCCTGGTAAGTTTTCATGTATGTGTGTGTGTGTGTGTGTGTGGTGTGTGTGTGTGTGTGTGTGTGTGGTGTGTGTGGTGTGTGTGTGTGTGTGTGTGTGTGTGTGTGTGTGTGTGTGTGCGTGTGTGTGTGTGTGTGTAAACCACAGTTGATGACATAGTCAAATTGCTTTGTAAAAAACTAGAATTACTGCCTCAGTTGTGACTCCAACAAGTCAAAATGCAGTGTACATCCTTGTCCGTCCAAAATGTCTTAATTATACCATATAATGTATTCACATTAACAAAGAATATGCCATTGGTACAGTACAAAGCAGATTCATCTGGAATGGCTACACGATTCAGGAAAGATATTCGGTGGGATGATTGGGGTCGATATCAGGGATGGAACAGGGTCGAGGAAAGGAAAGGGAAAAAGGGGGGCGGTTACCGGGTGATGAACTGAAGCGTAAGATTGGTCAGGGTCATGTGCGATGGTATGATTGGGGTCGAGAAAAGGGATGAAATAGGATATATCGCATGGGGATGAACCAGGCTGAAGGGGGTTATGGTGTGGCTGGAGCATCTTCAAACCGGGGGTCGACACTCAGAGGGGAGGCACGTCCTCGCGCTTCGTGCATCATCATCATCATACCCCTCCTTGGTATACATTCAGGACCTTTCATGTAGTGAGAGAGATGATAAGATGGTTTGTTTACATGGAACCATCCAAAAAGCGTCATTGGAAACTGTTGTGAAAAAGGCCAGTTGCTCCTAACAAATACTTGGCATGTGATTGGATGATACATCTGTCAATCAAATTCTCACCGAAGCCAGTCAGGAGGACAGGGTGCTACCACTTAAGAAGCTGCCATTGTTATTTAGTTGCTTGTATGTGTAGTTGCGCACAAATACCTAAACCCCGCCCATCTGACAGTAGCTCCTAGGTCTGGACACAAAAACATTGTGTAAAGCCAGAAAGGCGTAATTGTATTGACATTTACCACAACATTTTAAACGGTTCATCCTTGAGTCTGAATGTACTTTTAATGATGACCGACCAAAAACCCCAAAACAAAATGTCGTTGACCATGGCTATTGCCGTTGTTGAGGAAAAATATCATACATTTTGAGTAGCAGTTTCATTGGAATCAGCTCTGTCAACATGAAAAT